TGCTAACCCCTTAAAGATATGATACATATCAGCCGATACATGAACTGGTACATAGTAAAATTTTGAACCTTGATTCAAACCAAAGTCGTTCCATTCCATATGGATTTCTTTAGTCAACAATGTTTTCTTTTTTAATTTTTTTTTTCACCTGGTGATCATAACTTGATTAAGGCTCTGTTTGAGAAGAATACACTTCAAATATATATGAGGTTTAGGAATACTTTATACAAAGTTTTGCATTAAAACATATTTGTATTTGCACTCTTCCCGATCCAAACAAACAGGCCAAATACAAATTAATCATCGAGTACTACATACAAAACCGACGATACTAGAGAATAAGAAAAAAAAAAAACATTTAGAAGAAAACTACTAAGAAACAGAAAAAACAAAACTGAGAACTAGATACAAAACCGACAATAATAGAGAATAAGATAAAAACAAGCAGAAGACAACTATAAAGAAGCATATAAACAAGACTTAGAATAAGAGAGTCCCGACTTTTAAACAAAATTTTCACATCGTATTTCTGGGATAATTATTTTACTAGGTTTTGCAAAATATTCAGTTAAAGTAAGTTCAAAATTAGGCCAATTAATCTCTCAATAATTATTACCTATCTTAGTCTATTACATTGTCCATGTATTATAAACTTTTCGAGTTTGTAAATTCTTTTCATTGTGGTGAGAGTTACTCCATGTTGTGCAACTAAGATTGATAAAATTCAAGAATGTGAATGAGTTGGGGTTGTTGAAGAAAATTACACCAATGCCCAGGCCCACGGTCAAAGAACCTCTACAAACACTCGTGGCAAGGATTCGTCCTATGTATCCACCCAAAATACTTCAACAATCAAAACTCTCGGAGGATAGAAATGCACCTTATCAACTTTTCCAGGAGTCTATTACGAATCTGTCTCCTGTACATATCTGTTTGTAACATATTTTCAAATTTCAAAATTTGTAAGTCTATAAATTACAGCCAATACATCACCCACTCTAAAATTGAGTGAGCTATCATAGATCATGGTTTTGAAAACTAGACCGGACCAGATGTACAGACCAATTGACCCAGGAATCATTTAGGCAATAGGTTCTGTTTCACCCTAAAACAGTTTCTAGGCCAAAAACCATTGATTGGTTAGCAATCCATTGACTCAGGCAGTCAAACCATTGACATATTGATCTAGAAAATGGTTTTGGCCATTTTTTATTTTTTAAATCAAAACTGATTGTCCGTTTGAATCAGATGGCCACATCATTCTTGTACAAATATTGTATAGGTTTCGCTACCTTTTCTTTTAAACCAGACACACCACAGAAGAATTTTGGAGTCTAAGTCAAAGCTTTTATCAAAACTGAAATGGATTTGCAAATCTTGAAGTATGGGTCATTAGTAAAATAATTTGATCAATAAGTAATTATGTTTAACTCATAAAATCAATAACAAATGGAGACCCGAAAAGCTCACACTGCTAAATGACTCCTATATAAGGGAGGTACCCTATATACATACCTTGGGGGCGGGGGGTGTAGTGACACTTAAAGCCCTCTGGGACAACAATATACCTTATACTTTTAGAAATCAACACTGAATTCCAGACTTTAGCAATTTATCTGGAGCATGTGATGTCATGTGCACCTTCAAACAATTGAAAAATTCCAAAAATACCCTTTGAATATTATTTTAATCACTTTGTCTGTACTTTATTGAATCTCTAAAACCATGGTTTATAACCTTTTCTTTTAATAAACCCCAAAGTTACCCTTGTCATATTTATTTGAAACCACTCCGCCCTCTACTTTATTGAGTCTCTAAAACCATGCTCGTAACCTTTTCTTTCCCACTTTCTTTTTGAGAGTTGTGAATATATAGGGCACGAAAACAACATGGTGATCTGTAATTAACCACGCCCATTTCAATCATTTTGCAATTTAATTTTTTCAACAACGCAAACCATGAATGGGCATTTCAGTAAATTTATCATTCACCATAGCGTCGATTAACAGGACTTGAGTGTTGATTTCTGAAAGTGCAGGGTACCTTATTGTTGCAAGCGAAATTTGAGGCCCTTTAAGTGTCAATACTCTCAAAGTGTAGGGTACCTTCCTTTACTTTACCTGGCAAATTAGCTTATTTTGTTTAACTTTATCAAGGGTGATATACTCTAAGTTTTGTGCGTATTAGAGAGTTCAGGCTCAACAACTCTAATTCAAGCATAATTATCAGCAAGGTTTCAACCAGCTGGTTGGTAAGGTCTCTTGCTGGTGATAGCGGAGACCTGGGTTGGGGAATGGGCTACGACAAACTTGTGGAACCTGGGTTGCTGCAGTGGACTGTTGGGAGGGTTTTGTTGGTAGCAGATCCCTACCCAATGGTTGAGATGGTCACTGGACATCCATCTAAAATAAGTACATAATCAAACTTGTGGAACCATAGGATTTCTATGACATGGCCAGTGGGTCTCACTCACATGCACCCTGCTCTGTTCCCTGCAATGAAAGATAGGTTTGTTTCTGATTATTCATTTACTGCAGTTCTAAAGGTTCAAGGTGTATAACACATAAACAGCCAATGAACCAGTAGTGAAGATGGTCACTTGGCACCTCCTCTTGTTTAGAGGTGAAGAGATCAAACCCATGGAACCACAGGCTGTCCGTGATATGGTCAGTTGGTCTCACATGCACCCTGCTCTGCCCCTACCCGTTTCGTGTAGTATGTAATACCAAAAAGTATAACATAAAGGTATTAGTTTTATACGTTGCTAAAACTTTAATTTACTAGTCGTGCTTCAACAAGAAGAGAATAATACCAAAGAATTTTGATTTGTTGTTGGAACAATCTAAAATGGCTTAATGGGGTATTCTTATAACATTCTAAAATCTAAAAAATTAAGGCAAAATTACCTAGAAGGTGAAGATAACAGAAAACTTTACCTGCTCCATGAATAATTTGCTCTCAAATAGACAAATTTTCTTCTTCTCTTCTTTCATTTCTTTGAATTTTTTTGCTTAACATGTTCAACTTTTGAAATCAGAGAGAGAGAGAGAGAGGGGGGGGGGGGAAGAAGTTAGCATAAGGGTAAATTTTTCTATTTCAAAAATACGAGACAGAGGTTGTCTATCAAGTTTAATCCACTAAAACAAATTTTTTAATAGATTCAACCCTAATAGCAAGATATTAAAAAGGCTATCCTCGAAGGTAAAATCCTGTATCATCAAGATCTCACGGGTAATTTTCTTAAAATCTAATTGCCCATCCGAGGTTCTTAACTAGTTCATCATTTCATCTTGTCAATTTAAATCATCTAATTGCCCCTCAGCTGGATTGTATTCTTAATGGGGTTTGGATTTATGCATGGACTGCAAACTTACGAGAAGGAAATAATATAAAAATTGAGAAAAACTAGTACTAATTAAAGGGTTTTCATGGCTATCCACTACTCTAGTAAGCATAGAAATTCTCCATCAAAGCATCAGACTTGCTTATAATTTCTCTCTTACCCGATCGAAACGATGATCAAAATACAAGCACAAACAATCTAGTTATATTTACTATTGATGATGCCACCACAAAGTCTGTTTCCTATGTTAGCTAAGAACCGGAAGTAGACAGCTCTCCACGACCTTTTGAACAGTAAGGGACCCCATACAACCCAGAAACCCACAACAAAACCCAGTGCCATGCTAAGATAGAACGACTTCAGTTCAAACTCATCATCAAAGTCTTCGTCTCCATCATTATTTTCAGCAACTGGGTCACCTTCAAATTTGTCATCTTCGGGGCATTTCTCTGTGAGAGGAGGTCCACAGAGTTCATTGCCGATAAAGCTGGATGGGCTTAGGCTCTGGAGCTGAGTGCTGGATGGAATCCTCCCTGACAGCCTGTTATATGACACATTGAAATAGCTCAGAAAGGTTAAAACCGAAATGCTTGAAGGAATTGCACCTGAAAGTTGGTTCTGTGAGAGATCAATGGATTCTAATGATCCCATGTCACCGATCTTCTCAGGGATCTTTCCTGTCAAATGATTTCCAGATAAATTCAAGGACAGCAAGCCCAGAAGTCTTGTTAGTCCTCCAGGTATCTCTCCAGATAAATAATTGCCTGACAGGTCCATGCTCACCAAAAGGTGAAGGATTTTGTTATATTCTTGCTCTTTTCCTTTCGTCAAGAAAGTTGCTTCCTCTACAAAATCACCACCATATGTTAGGTGAGAAATAGGATCCTGTGATTTGTTCATTGAAGTCATTGCAGTCAGGTTGCTGAAGCATCCTGGTATGGTTCCTGATAGATTGTTTTGTGAAAGGTCCAAGACTTGAAGAGAACTGAGATGGCACCAGTCTGAGGGAATGGTGCCACTGAATCTGTTTGAGCGTATGCCAAGAATCATCAGCTTCGATAAGCTTTTTCCGATCCATGTCGGTAAGCTTCCAGAGAATCCATTCTTACTCAAGTCCATGATCTGCAACTCTGTACAATTTTGTAAAGATGAAGGTAACTTTCCGGAGAGATTATTGCTGCGCAAATGCAAAGATTGGAGACAGTGCAGATAACCAATAGAGCTTGGGATACTTCCAGTCAAATTATTGTTATTCAAATTTATCACTTGGAGTGACTTCAAATTTACCCAACAGTCTGGAAGCTCTCCTGATAAAAAATTGTTTGAGGTCCAGAATTTGCAGACTACTAAAACCATCTTCATGGCAGAGCAAGGGGGAAATAGGTCCAGAAAAGGAATTGTTGGAAAGATCTAGTTCTCCAACATTAGAGAAATGAGGCAGTGGGCCATGAAACCGGTTGGAACTAAGAATAATTATTGGGTAAAAAGCGGTGGTTTTGACTAGACTTGGAATTTCCCCATGGAGCTGATTGTTTGAAAGATTTAAATATGAAAAATGGAATGATGAATTCCAAAACCAAGATGGAATCGTGTCTGAAATTCCTGTGTGCGATAATTCTAGATTAGATAAGTTCTTCTGAGTTTGAAGCCATGCGGGGAAACTGGGTCCCAATTGCCATGACCCCATTTCTATATCTTTAAGTTGAAAAGGAGGAATCCAGTCAGACCTCACATCCAAAATCAGTGAGTTTGAAGAAGCGCTCAATGATTTTAACCTTGTGAGGTTGGCGAAGTGAAGCTCGGTTACCACACCTTCCAAAGAATTAAAAGACAAGAGTAAAGTTTCAAGCTTTGAAAGACGCCCAAAACTTTCAGGAATCGTTCCATTGAATTGATTAAGGGAAAGGTGTAGAACTCTTAAGGATGACAATCCACCCAAAGACGCAGGAATTGGACCAGAAAATGAGTTGGAGCCCAGAATAAGGTCAGACAGATTTTTAAGTTGTCCTAGTTGAGGAGGCAATTGGCCTGAAAGCTGGTTATTTCTCAACTCTAACCATTCTAAACCACTATTTAGAATGCACCCAGATGAATTTCCCAAAAACCCAGATAGTTCTCCTTGAAGTTTGTTATCTGCAAGATCTAATTTTTTCAAGTTGCAGAGATTTCCCATAGTTGTTGGTATCTCCCCTTCAAGCTGATTTTGAAATAGCAAGAGGTCTGTAAGCGAACTCAGGTTACCTACAGCACTTGAAATGCTACCTTGCAAAAAATTTTTTTGGAGATCGAGGACTACAAGACTGGTGAAATCATATAACCAGTCAGGTATGGTAGAACTGAGTCTGTTGTTAGAAAGATCAAGTACTCTGAGAGCAGTCATGTTCTGAAGAGCACTTGGAATTGGACCTTCAAAATCATTGTCATGTAAATCAAGAGAAAGAAGACCAGTGAGACCAGACAACCATTTGGAAACTGAAAATTTGAAATTATTTTCAGAAAGGTCTATGACAGTGAGAGATGTAGAATTAACATGTGGAAGAGGAAGAGAAATATCATCAAGTCCACACGAAGATAAGCGTAATTCTGATAAAGAAGGGAGCATATTCACTACATGCAACCAATTAGATGCCTTACTGAGGTTAAGTCCACTAAAGTCCAGGTATTCCAGAGAAGAAAGATGAGATAGCCATTGGAGATCCTCAACATGAGGCCTAAAACCATTACCGTATGAAGTTCTTCCGCTAAGATCGACATACCTCAACTTAGATAGATTTCCCAGCTGATGAGGAACAGGGCCACTGAAACCTGCATTAGAGAGATTAAGATATCTCAAATTTTTAATGGACCCAAGGAATTCTGGAATAGCAATGCCTCCAAAGTTGTTCATGCTTAGGTCCAGATAACTCAGACGTCTCAAATTGAGCAAAGATGGGTTTATCTTCCCACCCAACAACGATCTTTTATAAGCTGCAAATTGGCCGGGGCCGAGTTGATTTGGCTGTCCCAGGTCCAGCTCAATGACGTGCCCAGTTCTGTTGTCGCAACGGATTCCTTTCCATTCACAACAGTCTTCACCGGTCCATGAGGAAAGCCAATTCTCAGGATCTCTAAGATCATGTTTGAAACTGAGAAGTGCTTTTCTCTCTGTTGCAGAGCAAACCACGCCAGGATTTGCATTGCAGAGTGTAAACTTGATTGTAAGTAAGTGTAGAAGAAAGCTGAGCAAGAAAGCCAGTATTGTATCCATTGTAAATAAACAGGAAATAGGATAGAAGAGAAGATTGAGAGAGAGTAAAAAAGCAAATGCTGTAAATGAGAGTGTGAACTAGTGCTAGTCCAATTTATAGAGGAAGAACAATGTTTGGCATCAAAAGCAAATAGATAGCAAGGGCAGATACTTTTTTTTTTTTTTAATTTGGGTTTGACCAGAAAAGAAAAAGGTAGAATCCAACAGGTATATATTTGAGCCATTAAGGTTGGCAGAGACCTCAAAAGTAAGAAACCTTCCTCACAAGTTCATCTCCATTTCTCAGATTTTGTTTGCATCCAGCTGTTTTTGGTGCGATAGAAAATAAGAGAGATATATAGAAAGTTGAGGGAAAGTTCTTGAGCAATTTCACAAAATTTGTGAAGAACTTTCTCCGGCTCAACTTTCTACTTCGATCTTGTTTTTGTCAAACCAAACAACAACGAGTCAAGAGCCTACAATCCTCTATCTAATTATCTATTGTGCAACTTTACTAGGCTATTCAACATAAATCGAATCCACTATGGGCTCCATTATAACGTGTGTTTTACGCTGCAGCATGTTGGACAACATTTTTATTTTTTGGAAAACAAAATTAAGAAACTGCCACAAACATCTCTAATCTAGCTTATATAAAAACTTAAAATCTTTTGTGTCACACCCTGTAGTTTGTAGTCCACACCAGAACTATATCTTGAGTGTAGTCCACGACAACTCCACGGAACAGAGTTGGCCAAGGAAAAAACTGAATTGATAATTGAGATCCATAGCTTGAGCCTCAAGCAACCTGACAACAACTCAGCCAAACAAAAACTAAATTGTATATTGCTCAAGATTGGATTTAGATCTACGCTTAATAAAAATTGAAAAAAAAAAGGGTTTAAAGCTAGAGATCTATATGCTCTGTTTGGAAAGAGAAAAAATAATAAATATATATATATATAAAATAATATAAAATATAACATTTTGTACTCCATTTCACATCTCCACCCCCACAAGGGGCCGCCACTTTGTACTCTATACATTTGTACTCCTAAACTGAGCCATAATTTGTCATGTCTTCCCAAGGACCCAGGACCCACCACTCCATACTAGGGGTTAACTTTACTGGGTCAAAAGTTGACTTGATTTCCTTGATGCAGTGGGATGGTGATGGTTGATGTATGAAACCGACTAATTGGAATCTGGATTTATTCCTCACACCAACTTCACGGCATTTTCAATTGTACTTATAAGTTGTTATTGATAGGGGGATGCTCTTAATAAACGCGGTTGCAAAGTGCTGAAAGACTGGTGTCAGTAGGCTCGAGAAGCAAATCCAATTTGGAATGAGAGTTGAGGTCATAAAGTGGGACCTGAGAGTATAAAGTAGAACACATACCTATACAAAGAGGGGTTGTTTGGTTATGATTTTGTACCATGCAGATTCAAGTCCTGCTACCTGTTTAATTTCACCGACCTTGGGAGTTATTAGTGTATTGCGTAAAAGTAAAAAAAAAAAAAATAAATAGTAATCCGATCAAACACAACTTTGAGAGATCCATCTTTCGGGGAATATATCCCAACAAAATTGAGCTAGTATTTGGTTTGAGTTCAGATTTGCACCCCAAACTTGCCCCACAGCAAATCACAATCATGTTTCAGGAACATTTCCGAGATGTTCCCAATGCATGTATGTGAACATGGGGCGCACTCTGTGGGGGCACAAATCTGAACTTTTTAGTTTAGAAAGTGGGGTTCAATGAAGGTATGGCAAAGTTTGTCTTCCTAAATCAACTCTTATTCTTTGGTAACCATTTGTCGAATATTTGCTATTTCTTTTAGATGTTTATATTTAGAAGTGAGCGGGGTTGGCAAAATTGGGGAGTTTCTATGTGAAACACTTCTAATAAGAAAAAAAAATTAGGCTGCATTTAGCATTCCTGATTATACCGACTTGTCTCCATTTTATTCATAGGTGTTTGGGTGATGGTTGAGTTGGCCAAAGATGTCATGTGGCAACCTTCGCAGCCGTCTTCTCTCTCTAGCCATGTCGATACTATGTGTGACAGAAGAGCACGACCAATAAGGAGTGTCCTGTACGGACAAGGAAGCGAACTCCATCAGGGAAGAGGAAACCTTCCGAAGATTTTGACATACGACCTCATCCCGACAACCCCAAAAGTCCTATCCATTTAGAACACAGACATCCAACTATAAATACGTATTCTCTGCTCGAGGTAAGGGACTTTTGGAAGAACACACTTTGAATATCTCTTAGGCCTGGACCAACATTATTTCAACCTACTTGGCCTAGCTACCTCTTTTTCTACCCAACTGACTTGAGCGTCAGAGTACCTACTTAGGGAATAACTCCTCGGGTCTCTGACCTTTCTCCTGGTTGCAGATCTCAGTGTGCGGCTTTGTCCTTCCACCTCGGCCTTGTCCAATTGGTAGGATTATTTGATTATGTCCACAGTTCGGAACACCTCAGATCGGACAACATCAAATTGGCGCCGTCTGTGTGAACTGTACAAAAAGCCATTTCCCAAACACCTTTCCCCGCACTTAAAGCAACCATGCCTAAAAACACATCCAACAACTCTGGAGCCCGTTCCCCATCTCGGGGGTCCCGCTCACTTCGCAACTGTCCACCTCGAGAGCCCTAACATCAGGCTGCGGTCGACATGCACAATTCCAAGCCATGAAGCAAAAAGTCAACCACATCATAGCCATGATGGAGACGTTGGGGCAACCACCTCACCCTCCCCAAGCTACTCACCCTGCCACGTAGGTGCCTACTATAGTCGATCCTCACACCAAGGACCCCAAAATGTGCCATGCAAACAGGCACAAGGCCCAGTCCGACCGCAAACGACCGCAACAATCCAGAAGATTCGACTCCCCAGCCTGGCCTCGTGCACATGACACCCACAGTAGATCATCACTTCGCCTAAGTGCTGGCGAAAGAACGACTCAATTAGTGTCTGCAGTAGCCACCAATCTCAATAGCCGAATCCAACTCGGTCCAAAATCTGCCTACAATCCCAAAAGGGGAGAAGTCTATGAACATGGTCCCAGCCCACAAAGATGCCAAGATCAGAGAACAAAGAGAGCACTTGGCCTAACTAGAGTGCATCCAAGCAGATAGAAGTGCTG